CCAAAAAGCCATCATCATAATTCCTTTAAAAAGTCACCAGCACCAGAGAATTTTATAGGTGGGTGATTCAAATTTTGAAGGGATAGATAAATTCAATTGTATAAATGTAGAAAAAATTTAAAATGTTTTCATTTCATTTAATCAAAATGCTTTGGCTTCTTAGATTTATCTTTTTTCTATGGACTTCTAAAAGCAATTTGAAACTCAAAGCTAAGCAAACGTTCCTTTTGTTTTAATTATATCTTCCATGACCCCAAGGCAATAAAGCTACTTAAAGAGTAGAGTTCCAAGTAGCAATGAGAAAATACTCATAAAAGGAAAAAGAAAAACCTAGGTTCATAGTAAATACTTAGATTTATTCCCATTTTATCATCTTGGGGTAAGAAATGCATTCCTAAGCAGAACCATAAAAACAAAAGCCATAAAGGAAAACGTGGACACATACACACACATATACACACAAAGATCTGAGTTCCAGGATTTAGGAGGAACTCCCTTAATTCAGCTTTTTAAAATAAAATGAGCAGAGACAGTTCAGACAGGACCTTCATGTGGCTGATATAACTAATGAGGCTGAATATCTCAACCTTCAGCCTCATTAGTTATCAGGAAATGTCGAACTAACATAGTGAAATTCTCCCTTCATCAGATTAACCAAATAAAAAATGAGATGAATAGGTAAAGATATATCATGTTACATTTGCACATGTATATAAATATACATACACATATGTTAAAATCCTAGGGGAGAGCAATTTGGAATAATTTATGTAGATTTAAAGTGCACATACAATTAGACTTAGCAGTTCCATTTATATAACTTTACCTGATAGAAATAATCAACTGTTTATACATAAAGACGTACTTCTTTAGAGTTTTAATTGTCATTTAGTTTATAAAGACAAAAAATTAGAAAAATCCTAAATGTTTAGGAAGGTTACAATTTTTTTTCCTTCGCAGCCATTAAAAAGAGTAAGACAGATTGTTGTATAAGAGAAAGACAAATTTTAAAGACCCACATTTGGTCCAAAAAGCAAGTTCCAGAGGGAAGCACTTTTGGAAGGCAGAATAAGGATCTCTGAAAAATATTTCTCCGTAGAAGCAACATAATCAGTGGCACCAATGTCAAAGTCAGCTTTCTCAGAACTCAGGAAGTGAATGAAAGAATTGCAACAATTCCAGGAGTATCTATTCTAGAAAAAAGTGGCAGGATCTCCATTAGAACAGCATGCTTTGACCTTATTCAGAATTCACTAAGAAAGAAACCCTATCCACAGGGCATCCATTGAAAATAATCAGTGGAAATCACTTAATATCACAGCTGCCAAGGCAGAAATGGAGCAAACAAGAGGCTAACCAAAAATTTAACAGAAAAATCAGAGGCTACCAAAAAACTTAAAATCAAAGACCCCTGGGGGTCTTCAAAAAGGTCTGATATATTTCTGCGATTCTAGAAGGATACACACATGCAGGATTGTGCACATGACCAGAAAAGACTTGAGAATGGCATGATCTCTCAACTCTGGATGAACCCTGAGGCTCTGCGTACGCAGGAATGAAGGCTAAAGCAGAATTGTAAATCTCCGCTGGAGCATTGAAGTTATCCCCCAAAACACACACAGAACACCCACCAAATGCTTTGAGACTTACTGGTTCAACGCATTTAAGGAAAGGAAGCCTCTGTCTCTTTACTGACCACTAAGCTAACAAAGCAGAGACTTCAGTGGCCAAAGAATGTAGACATAGCAAAATTTGTTTTAAGGTAGTCATCAAAAAAATAAACAAGAAAAATCCAAGGGAAAGAACGGGATCTAATTTCCAATGCTGCCACATTATTTAAGCTTTCGATGAAAATTCTGAGACATGTAAAGAAACAGGAAAGTAGAAAGTATACACGGGAAAAAGCAGTCAACACAAACTGCCCCTGAGGAAGCTGAGACACTAGACCTACTAAAGACTTTAAATCAGCTACTGTAAATATCTTCAAAAAGCTAAAGGAAACTGTGTCTGAGGAACCAACAGAATGTAGGAGACCAATGTCTCACCAAATAGAGAATATTAATAAAGAGATAGTAATTTTTAAAAGAACAAAATAGGTATTCTGGAGTTAAAAAGTGCAATAACTAAAATTTAAAAAAAAATTCACTACAGAGGATCAACAGTAGATTTGAGCTGACAGAAGAAAGAGTCAGAGCTTGAAGATATGTCAATTGAGAGTATCCAATCCAAAATACAGAAAGGTAAAAGGAGGAAGAAAAATTAACAGAGCCTCAAAGACTTGCAGAATACCGCGTGTCATACCAATATACAGATGACAAGAGTCAAGGAGAGGAGGTGCCCTGACCGGTGTGGCTCTGTTGGTTGGGTATCATTACACAAAGCAAAAGGTTGCCAGTTAGATTCCTGGTCGGTGCAGATACAAAAGGCAACTGACTGATGTTTCTTTCTCATATCCATGTTTCTCTCTCTCTTTCTGCCTGCCTTCCATTCTCTTTAAAAATAAATAAATAAATAAATAAATATTGTTTTTTAAAAGAAGAGAAAAAGGTGTAAAAAGAATATTTGTAGAAATGCTAGCTGAAACATTCCAGTTTTATGAAAAACATTACGTATTTAAGAAGCTCAATCAACTCCAAGCAGGATAAACTCAAAGACATCCACTCTTGGACACATCACAGTCAAACTTAAAAGTCAACAGCAAAGAGAGAATCTTGAAAGCAACAAGTAAAAAACAACTCATGGTATCCAAAGGAGCCTCAATAACATTAACAGCTGATTTTCATCAAAACCACGGAAGCCAGAAGGCAGCAGGATGACACCATCAAAGTGATATTTTTTAAAAGACTGTCAACCAAAAATTCTATAGCCAGTAAAACTATCCTTCAGAAAAGAAAGAAAATTAAGACAGTCACAAATAAAAACAGAATTCACTACCGGCAAATCTGTCCTTGGCACTGGGACCTGTTCTCTCTGCTGCTTTCCTAACCTCAGGGTTACTGTCCTTAAAGGGTCAGCAACAATATCATCCATTACAGGTTGAGGCAGAAGTACAAAAGTTTTATTTTAGGGAATAGCAGCTGTGGAAGGAAAAGGGGAGAACATAGAACTAGGCAAGGGGATGTTGTCAGACTGCGATGCAGACATCACAAAAGTCTCTGCTAGATGAACAAAAAGCTCTGGAGCCAAAATTTCCGACTAGAAGAGCTTTGGTGGGTAGAAATGGGCAGGCTTTTTGTTGCCAGTCACTAGCTGGGAAATATGAAAACTGACTTCATAAAAAGAGCAACTTTATTGAGATATAATTCATAGACCATACAATTCACCTTTAATTCGGTGGATTTTAGTATATTCACAGAGAACGCTCGGCTGTCACCAGTACCCAACCTTAGAACATTTCGAGTTAAACTTGGCTCCTCTCTTTCTCTCATACCCCTCATACTTTCCTCAGTAAACCTATTCAGTTTTAGCCAGAGTCTGACCTCTCCTTAACACCAAGCTCTGATCATTCTGCTTACTTGGAGTTTTGCAGTGGCAAAAACTTATTTCCCTGCTTTTGTTTTTGCCTCTCCCACTCCTAATTACATTCTCAACATTGGCAGCCAGAATGATCCTTTTAAAAGTAAGTCAAATTATGTCACGTCTCTGCTCAAATCCTCTAGTGGCTTTCAGTGGCTTCTCTTCTCATTAAAACTAATCAAAATCATCTGTAAATTGCTATCTGCTCTGATCCCTTGCTTGCTGTCAGACCTCAACTCCCACCCCTCACCCCCTCATTCTTAGCTTTAGCCAGTCCGGCCACCTCGCTGTTCCTTGAAAACACAAAGGTCCTGCTTGGGGCTTTTGTTCTTGCTGTTCCTTCATGTTATCTGCAAAGCTGGTATTTCGCCTTCCAATTTTTGCTCAAATGTCAGTACAGCTCAATACTCAGTGACACTTGTCCTGACCATCCTATTTAAGATTGCAACACCTTTCCCTGCCATGTTCTCCTTCGCTGTTTTGTTTTTATCCGTAGCCCTTACCACCATCTAAAATCATATATATTTTATTAATGTATGCCGGGGGCGGGGAGCAGAAGTAGATGACAGTTGTGGTATGCACAACTGCAAACCTACTTTTGCTCCACCCTGTATTTGTCTGTCTCCCCGTCACTACAACGTACCCTCCCTGAAGGATAGGATGTTTTATGGTATTAGTTTCTACTGTCTCCCTGCACCCAAAATTGCCTAGCACTTACTCGGCCTTCAGGTACTAATGGTTGAATGAATGAATGCAGCAGGTATTTTACTAGGTCCTTAGGTTCCTATGACAATCATGCAAGAGTAGCCCCCTTTGTAAGTAAGACCTGCATGGGTCTGGCTGTAGCTAATTCTGTATACCTGACTTCAACACAAAGCTGCCTTCTCAGCAGGACTTACTAGAGTCCTTGCACCTGTCTGAGGGAGTATTATGGAGCATTGTTGGCGATCACAGATGCATCCACCATAGTACAGGGACCAGTCTAGAAACAGGCCCTGTGAGCCAGCACCTTGTCCCAATTTCTAGATGCTTCCACTATAGGCTAGAGTAGCCATATATCTATTCTGCAATTAATGAAAAGGAAAGAGACTCTTTTGAAAAACTGGTGAAGGATTTCAATTTTTTATATTAATAATATAATGTACAGTATAATAGTGTCCAGTTTCTGTTATTAAGGATGATTCTATTACTGAAGGTCCAGTTTTCTAACCTACGATTTCTAAAAACTTATTTTTTTATGTTTTATATGTGTGCAGCACTTGGGACTACTGTAGTATAAATTACGTGTAGAAAACTATAGCATACTTCGTTGTTTAAAATAATTGACAGCTACCCTGATACAAAAAATGTATGCATTTTAATGCTCCATAATGTCATTATGTTGACAGTGTGAACAAAGAGGTATCATAATTACTAAGAACAGTAAGCTTAGTGTCTTAATGAAAAAGTGGTGTTTCATTATTGATACTTAACTTTTCTTACAGGACAAAGTACTAAAAACATCAGTTCATCTCCAAGTGTTGAGAGTTTGCCAGGAGGAAGAGAAACCACTGGCTCCCCACCTATGTCTGCTACTAAAAAGGATTCCTTCTTCAGCAACATCTCACGGTCCCGCTCACACAGCAAAACTATGGGCAGAAAAGAATCTGTAAGTATTTCGCAATGGTTTTCTTGTTATCCCTCATTTTCCTCTCGAGTGATGCATTTGTTAAAGCCTCTTATAAAGCTCTAAAAATTCCTACAGACTAAAATGAATTACTCATCAAAAATAATTTGGAATATTTTAAGGCCATGGTCTGTATTACACTGGGGTGGAGGGGTAATGTAACATCAATTTAAAAGAAGTGAAATCCCAACTTTCAGTCCTTTTTTCCCCCTAAAAATGCCTTTTTGTCAAAGTCTGTTTTTTTTCCTAAAATGTAACAAATAGCATTATACCAAATAGATTAAGACCCTAAAACAAACCAAGCTGTTTTTTTCAGTTTCAAGTATTTCTTGAAACTTAAAAAACAATTATTTCACTACTCATTTTAAAAAGTCATACAAATTAAATTTAAATTATGGTATATTGATAGTTGTTCTCTACAAGCTATTACTCCAAGGAACCTATCTAAAGTATATCAAATGCTTAAAAAAAAAAAAAAAAAAGACAAACCTAGTTGTATCTGAAAAGTTTTTAAGCCAAATCACAATAAATAAAACATTTAGCCACATTTTATAGGTAGTTTAACACAATGTTCTACTATGAAGAATTCATCTGCCTACTGAAAGAAGATTTAAATTTAAGGTATTACAGAAAAGAGTCTAGCTGTTGCTGAAATAGTCCTAAATTGCGGGGCGGGGGTGTAAAACTTTTGAGGGATAATTATTTACAGTACCTAGAATTGATAATAGCATGGTATCTATTATCTGTGTGACTGTGTATGACGTTGGGTCAGACATGCAGCTTTGCAGTGCTTGAACCACTTCATCTGCAAATCAAACAACATACTTTGCTCTCAGAGGAGAAGAGTTCACTATGTACTCTCCTGGGGTCCCTTTCAGCGCCTAGGAACTGTGATCCTCTTGATTTGTAGAGGAGCAGAATGGAACTTTCATTTAGAGATGGCAGCTTAATGCAGGCAGTTAGCTCTTCTCCCTCTCAAATTCCACTCCAGGGATAGTTAGGGTGGTTAAAGATAAACCCCTGAGGAATAAGAAAACAGAAGAGAAGACAACAGCAACAAATTTTTGTTACTTGGAAAGCAGATGTTAAGTGCTAACTAACTTAACAGCCTAAGAAAGCTGAATGCCAAGTCAGCAGTAGGTAAAAACCAAGAAGCAGCTTGATTTAGATTTAAAATCTGGAAGCTCAGGACTGGAAATGGAGTAAAGGTAGAACTGAAGACATGAGGATTGGTCAGAAGTCTCTTCAAAAAGTAATTAGGTACCCCTGCCCACTCTGGCAGAGACTGGAGGTTTAATTCTTTGGACTGGGCAAGAGCAGGCACATTCAAGGATGGCACCGCCATACTGGAAAAGGAGTGATGAATGTATTTAACTACTGCATTTGAGAACCCAGGCCTTACCCAACTTGGTTCCCAAAATATCAGTGCGTATATCTCTGCAGGCAGGAAGAGTTTTCTCTAAGCAGAAGTCACAAATGAAAAAGAAAAAACAACACACAAGCATTCTGAACTTATTGGTTTTTCAGGGAAATGGCCACTTTACCCTCAGTGAACCTAACCATCACAGCCCCATCCAAACACAGACCTTTCACTTAACTTTTAGTTTACACTATTTTAAATGAGCAAGACAGCCAGGGATCGCCGGATACTTGAGGAGAGCATGGGATAGTGACAGTTAGACAAAAACAAAGAGAGAAAAGTAACATTTATATCCATGTTTTGATGTTTTCATGTGAGTGCCTGGTACACAGTAATTAAGCAAAAATAACTTGGATTAAGCTCTGGACATGTCATTTACCTTTGGTTAGAAAAGAGCAAAAAATGATATTAACATGAAATACCTCACTTTAAAAATACCATTCTTTTGAAACTCATTTTCTAAGTGGCTCTTTAGGTAAAACCAAAATAATAAAATGTTATTAAGCAAAAAATGCCACTGGGAGGAAACAAGTCTGTGCAGGAGTAGAATGCTTTAGAAAAAAAATATTTATAAATCAACCACAACAAAGATCATTAGAAATTAAAATACAATACCTACAATGTAAATATCTACAATGTACATACATCTACACTGTAGATCAATGTACATACATACATCTACAATGTAGATACAGGGTACAATATCTACAATGTAAAACTCAACAGAAGAGTTGGAAGACAAAATTGAGGAAGTCTCCCCAGAAAAGAGACCATAGGCAGAAATGGATGGTAGGAAAGAAAAATATAGAACCAACCCCAGAGATTCAAAATCTATAAAACAGGAGTTCCTGAAAGACAGAACAGAGAAAATGAAAGGAAGGGTGGAGTCAAAAATACAGTTCAGTAAGTTTTCCACTAATGAAAGACCTGTTTTCAGATTGCAAAAGTCCATGGAATGTCCCACACAAGTAAATATAAACCCACATACAGACCCATCGCTGAAAAAGGTCAGAACTCTGGAAACAAGGTGATGTCCTACAAACTTGTAGAACTAGGTGAAAAAAAAGAAAAAAAGATTTCGAACAAAGGATCGAGAATTCGCATAGCTGCAAATTTCCCATAGCCAGACTAGAAACAAGGCAGTGGAGGAATGAATGCCTTCAGAGTTCTGAGAGAAAATTACTTCCCACTTAGATTCAACACTTATCCAAACTAATTAAATCTGAGGGTAGAATAAAGCCACTTTCAGACATTCAAGAGTCATAAAATTTATTCCCATGCACCTCAGAAACCACTGGAGGATATGTGCTACAAAAATGAGTACGTGCGCTAAGGATGAGGAGTACATGAGAGCAAGTAAATAGATTATCCAGAGCAAGACAGAAGTATTCCCCAGATGGTAAGGTAGGGAGATCCCAAAACCACTCATACAACACAGCTACTTCGCAGGTCCAGAGAGCAGCAGCCAACCCAGATTGGGGAAAGTTAGAAGTTTCCAGAAAGTTTTCCCCAAAAAGATGAAGTGGTAAGAATAACTAATATATTTGAACAGATTGAGAAATATATGAAACTAGAGGTGAAGTTCAGTATAAATTCATGATAACTTGAGAAAAAATAGGCTAGTAAAACACAAGACAATCAGTAACCCCAAAGAAAAACAAAATAGCTACAGGAAAAGAAAGAAAGGTTATGATAAACCCTGTAAGTGAGCCAAGGCTTTAATTTATGTAGACAGTATAATGAAATCTATTGACTGTTAATCTAATCAAAATCATGATAAAATTCGAGAAAATAAACTGTGGGAACTGTGTATTTGCATGTAGAGGGGAGGAAATAAGTGGTCCCTGGTCATTAGAGCTAAATCCCCCTCTTCCATAGTGGAAAATTAGTTTATGAGGGGGGACCCCCAAAAAACCAATTTATTTGTTAAAAATTGTGTACTTATTCTTACATGTTTAAACTTCCGTCACCTTCAAAGTACTCTCCATTTGATGCAATACACCTATTGAGACCTTTTTTTCACTGCTCAAAACAGTTGTGGAACTTGTCAATTTTGATGCCTTTTAGTGCTTCTACCATTTTTTGTTCACCTCTTCCACATCGGCAAAATGTTTCCCATTGAGAACTTTCTCGTCTGGGGAAACAAAAAAGTTGCTTTGGATGAATAAGGAGGGTGGGACACGTGGGTCATGCCATTTTTGGTCAAAAACTGAACACTCGACATGATGTGGGCAAGTACACTCATAAATCGCTCGTCATGAAATGGACAAACCTGTTGAAAGAGTCTTCAAAGAAAATTCCGGCTGAAGCTGAACGCAGCCTCTCACAACACCAGCTGGTACACTGGTACAGATAGGTTCCTATAACACTCACCTAGTCGGGGAAGCCTGTATTACTAGGGACCCACCATCCTGAAGATAATCTGGGTTTTTTGGGGTCCTCCCTTGTATAATACTCTAGAACAGCGATTTTCAACATTTTTCATCTCATCGCATATATAGTAAATACTAAAATTCTACAGCATACCAAAAAATACTATTTTTTGCCAGTCTGGCCAAAAAAAGGTATAATTTTGATTGATCTACAAAAAAATTATAATGGTAATTACTGACCTTTTTTGCTCCCAAGTGACTCTTTAAAAAAAAAAAAAAAATACAGGTCCTATACTTGCATATAAGGATTTCTGGAACCAAGACTTAGCCAGTCTGATGCAACTTTATCATGTGATGTGACCAATAAAATGCAACTCTATTATATGACCTATATTTATGGTTCAAAAGAGAGCACTCACAACAGACACTGTTGTTGTGTTGGCTGTTGCCAGTTTTCTGTTTGACAGTCTAAGGGAAAAGAGGTCAGTGCCCCTGACTAAATAGTCAGGTATTACATGTTTTAAAAATTCTGGCAGCACACCAGTTGAAAATCACTGCTGTAGAAAAATCAAGAAGTAGCCATGTAAGCTAGAAATACAGTGATAAAAAAAATAGGTAAGAGAATTGAAAGTGGTTACTTCTGGAGAGCAGGAAGTGGAGGGTGGGGCTGTGTGAACTGTTTTTCACCACACGCCTTGTAGGACCACTTGACTCTTCAAAGTGTTACATATAAAACTTAGCTTAAAAATAATAACTTCAAATTACAACAAAAATAGAATGTATTGACATAACAAATTAGAAGAGGAGATGCCTGCCCATACAAAGATCATGTCTGTGAAGAATCAGAATAAGGAATAACAAATGAGAAGGGCATATGGAGAGATGTTTCGTTTGCATTATCATATTTTGGTGGCATATGGATTAGTCTACAGCACCAATTAATTACTTTTCTTTATGTTGATGCTGTGACTTAACAAGGAGAAGCGGAGCAAAAATAGAAATAGAGTAAGTCTAACCACCACATAGACCTGCTGTGAACCAACAAACAATGCCAAATTATTACTCATAATTTAATATAGTTCCTGGCTTGTGGGAAGTATGTGGGCAGAATTTTCAAGAGAAAGCTATGTTTTTCCAAGTAGTAGGTTAGCTTAATATTTTATGGAATAATGTACTATGTGGTCAGTGCT